CTCTCACCTCCTAAGGAACCGGGCCTGGAAGATCGCAGCCGTTAGGGTTAAATCTTCGTAACCCTAACACCTTTGCGATAAGGCCATACGACCCTTCGTCATGACCGCCCTCCCCCAAACGTTCATATCAAGACAACCAATTCTCATCTTTTTGGACCATGACTAGAAATAAAAAAAAACGATAGCGCAAAATAAGACCCTGCCTTCACTGGCTAGAAACAAAGGGAGCTACCGCAAAAAACCTTGGAATGTAAAGGCAACCTCCTACTAGAAGGCCTCTCTGAATTCGACTAAAGAACGGCTTAATTGCGAATCCAGCTTGGCTTTCTTCTTGCTACACATCCTCCTTCCCATCTTGTGCATCATCATCTTTTGCCCTGGTCATTTCATAAATCAGGCAGCCGACCACATGCAGAAGGCTCTCCCAGTGGACCAGAAGGTTTAAGTCAGTAAATCACCGCGCACATAGGAGATGGGCGATGGGGAGAGAGAGGTTGTGTTTGAGGAGAAAATGCAAATTCGCGGCTGTTGACTCAAAGAGGCTCTTTGCTGGTGTCCTCTTTTGGGATCTGCGTTGCCGGTCTACGAAACGGGTGCAGGCAGACGTCACAGCTACCACCGGGAGACAAAGTGTTACAACGAACACGAGTAAGGAGGATGATGAGAAGGCAGGAAACTAGGAGAGAGAGAGAGAGAGGGGGAGGAGGGTGCCGAAATGTGACCAAACTAATTTTCCTAATAATTCACTTCTCACGGGATGGGAAGGGACCAACGAGAAGGTCGAGTAGTTGGGACACCGGACATGGCAGTGATTCACCAAGGCAATAGAGGACGATTCCATTCTATTCGTTCAAAACGCAAGAAACTTGGCCACATTTCCAAATGCTCATTCACATAATATAGGAAGTTAATGGAATAACGTCACTAAAAAGTCAAATGTAAACGGATAAAGATTCATTTATAGAGAGAGCGCTAGTTTACGGCATTACACAAGACGCCTACATATCCCTAATGCTGTGTATGGTGCAGTCAAATTTTCAATCAGGCTTCTTCAAACGTGCAGCTGAGCATAGAAATATTTCTCCTAGACACTTCATTGGCAATCCGTAAAAAAGTCTGGATAAGTTTACAAATTCTGTTAGGACGGCACAGAACATGAATTAGCACATGATGAAAAAGAA